CTAGGCGAAACGCTTGGCCGCCGATTAGCATTTTTGCGGCCCAGTTTTCGACTACTCGGCCGCGTTTTTGAACAGAGATAAATAATAGTATAAGAAGGAGGAAGAATGGCGATTACGGTATTGAACTCGATCTAGGGAAAAAATGGTGTCTAGGGATGGGATCCTGGAATTGGGAATGAGATTTGGAATAGAGGAAAACAAAACCGTGGTGATACCAGGAGAGATAGGACCCAAGAAAGTTGTTTAAATATTCAGCAGCTTATTTTGGTCACAGGATGGGAGATATTTCAGAATCAAAGGGGATTCATACTTACTGCAAATCAGATCTCAAAGGAGCAGGGGTTTAATGAGGGTAAGTTTCAGAGCGACATCGACAAAGATACGAATCAAAGTCTTGTTTCTGATATTCAATGGCTATGCGTGGGTAAAGGAAGTGGGATTCCAAGGAATCTACATTCAAGGTGAAGTGGATCTCGATCTTGATCTCCACCAGATCCAAAGTACAGATCTTTAGACGTCTCATTCTTACCAATATTCGAACATAATCTTTTCTTTTATTGGGAGAATGAGAATTTTCTGTATTTTTTAATACCTCTAATGGGATTTGGGTATCTTGGAGATCTCTGGGAAGCAAGAACGAAGGACAACAGCAAGGTGATTGGATATTTAGTGGGATTCTTGTGATTACTGATATCAATTTAGAAGCAGCTTTAATAAGCTTTATAAGCAGTTGTATTTGTCTTGGGCTTTAGATTATTATGGTTTTTTGGTTTTTTTTTTTGTTATGGCTGCTAGCAATGTTTATTGTTATAGCATTGCAATGGAATAATATTGGTGTTTTGATTTGGGTGCACTGGTATGTTAACAAGATCATCAAAATTTGGTGTATTTTTGATTGGCTTGTTTCACAAGAATATACTGATGTGTTGGAGTGTATGTTTGAGTTTGGGAATTTTTTTGTATTTATTATTTACATGAGGTGATGGGATATTGGCGAGTGCTATTGGGAATCTGTGTGTGTATGGCTGTGGTGAGTCTCCTCAAACCAACTACAGACCAATTCCTGGTTTCATAATCTTCACAAGTCCAGACGAAATGGGACGAAGGATAAGGTCTGGAACCGTAAAGTATTGGATGGATTGTCAGGTTGGAGACACTGGATATTTATGTATAGGGAGGGACAAGGATTTCAATTATGTTTTTAGTGTGTTTCGTTGTCCACTTAATGAGATTACTGATGAAGGAATAAATCATTGGGTTACACGATATGTTTCTCAAGGATACCATTCATGGAAAAAGAACGCCCATTTGTTGAAAGAGAAGGCCTATGGTTTATGTGTTCGGTGGTTAAATTACAGTGGTGTGATCCTGTTTTACAGTTTTATTATGGCTTAAGGTGAATATGGTTTCATGATGACAGATAAAAGTCTATTTGGTGGGGCTACTTAAGGTCAACTGATTTTTTCCTTCACAACAATGGTGGAATATAGGGGTGTATGAATTTTTGGCTGTGAGGGTCTCATGAAACCTTTTTCAGAGCATTTTTACATGTTTTTATTTAATGAGAGTAGTACTCTGGAACTGTAGTAGAATGGGAAGTTAATGGACTATTAGATATCTTAGAGAAATTTGACATAAACATAAACCTGATTTTTTATTTTTATTGGAAACAAAGCAAGATTTTGAGTTCGTTCAAGGATTTCAATCACATTTTGGATTTGAAAATTTGGTTATGGTGGATCCAATTGGGAAGATGGGGGGGGGGGGGCTAGCTCTTTCTCATAATAATGAGTATCAGATACAAATATTATTTTCGAATGATTGAGAAAAAGTTCTTCTCAATCTTTGTGTATGGTGATCCGGTTCAGAAATTAAGATAACAAGTATGGGAACGGTTGACAAGATATGGGGTAGCACAATCAGAACCTTGGTTTATAATTGGAGATCTATATGAGATAACTAGGAACCATGAGAAGGAGGGAGGAGCATTCAGGAGCGTGGGATCTTTTGTTCATTTTAATAAGATGATTAAAAATAGTGGTTTTATTGAGTTCCCAGCTAGATGAAATAAAATTTCTTGGCAAGGACGCCGTGGGAAAGGGAGAGGGGCGGTGATGATTAGATGTTGTCTCGACCGAGCTCTAGCAAATGAAGAATGGCATACAATTTTCCCATGTTCCTACACAGAGTATTAGGGGATGGTTGGGTCTAATCACTGTCCGGTAGTGGCTTACATGGAAGATAAGATTCCCAGAAGGAGAGGACAATTTAAATTCAGGAGGGTTTTATGGATTCAATTGTTTTTGGCTGGACAGAAAATAGTGATTTGGTCTCAAAAATTAGTAATTACCGGCATGAAATAGCTAAATGTCGAAAGAATAATCAGCCATTTGGGACGGAAAAAATTCAAGACTTGCAACGGACTCTCGAGGATGTACAAATGGATGATAATAGATCGCAAGAGGATATCTTAGAGGTTTCAAGGAAATTACCGGAGGCATATAAGGATGAAGAGGAATATTGATATCAAAAGAGTCGCAATAGGTAGTACTCCTCGAGGAACCTTAATACTAAATTTTACCATGCACTCAAGAAACAGAGGCGGATACGAAACAGAATTGTGGGTCTTTATGATGAGGCTGAAAATCAGATAATAGAGGAACAATGGGTGGAAAGGGTAGCAGTAGACTATTTTGAAGATTTATCTACTATTACTTCGCCATCTGAGT